CTCACCCCCAACTGGGGACCTGGCCCACAACCCAAGCGTGTGCCCTGACAGGGAATCAAACCAATGACCTGGTGGTCCACAGGCCGGTGCTCAGTCCACCAAGCCACACCAGTCAGCGCTCTACTTGTTCGTTTTAACCAAAATATAATTGGATGTCTCATGTCTTTCAAACATATAAAGTAGAGTTAAATGTATCTAGATGCACCATAATGAGCAATGTTTTGGACTTAAAGTAATAATGAATCATTTGATTGTTTCCATCAGTAGTACCAGGCTTGCAGCAGCTGGGCTTATGATCATTTTTGTCCCTTACTAAATATCCAGCTTGTATTTACTTACCACTATAATTTCTTTTGTGATATAGTGTATTTGGTTTTCAGCCTTGAGTTTTCACAAAACGTGACGTGAGTCAATGAAAAAGTTATTTGCCAATATGTGTAAAAGAAAACCAGAATTCTTTCTTTGCAAATTGACATCACATATTTTAATGTTCTATCATTTTTCATAAACTGTTTTTATTTAAGTGACTGCATTGTGCTTATTATAGCAAAATACATGCTTTGCACTGATGAGTTTAGCAGGAGAGAATTAATTTCTTCCCACACCTTTTAATGTGGCATGGCAGTTTCACTCTAAGATCAAAACACGTAACTGAAGGTTATGTTTAATTTCTAAATCAAAGTGTTGTGGGAAGATGATTGAAATCTGAAGATGACTCAGATCACTTGATATGTGGTTTTCTTCCTACAGAAACCTTATGGTAGACTGCCATTTCCATGTTAGAAAGAATCTAATAGTGATGTGATTAAAATAAATAGTTTCACTATATACTGAAAGTTGATGTTAGTTACTTCGGTGCTTTTTTTAAGAAGAATTTTGTGGATTTCAATACCGTAGGAACCTATTCCACCCACCCAGTATATGTCCTTTTATTAGCTATGGGGTCAAAGAAATAATCATTTTATTTTACCAACATTGATTTTTTGGACAATTTTTGTGTTTCTATTGTTCCCAAAAATATAATGTATCCATTTGGCCCTTTGCCTGTATAAAATTGTTCATTTGCCTTAAAGGGTAAATTAAGATGATGTGGCTGCATTAACAGTGTCGATTTTTCTGAGACATGACAAATGGTATTTGTGATAAAGCTTCTTCACCAAAGTGAACTTGTTGGTTTTCTAATTTTTATTTCTTAAAGCAATCAGGCAAAAATACTAACCTAAAGCTAACATGGATTTTTCGCAGGTGTATTAAAAATAGAAATTAAAATTGTCGTCCCCGTGTCTGGATTTTGCTCATTGTCCCTTATCTGAACCTCTCAAAGGCCTCTCTGTGCAGGGTGTGCAGCCCAGTACACTCAGACAGTTCTGCTCAGAGAAGGAAGTGAAGAGTTTTGGTTCCCATTTTACACTTCTGGAACAGTTTAGGGAAGGAAGCACCTTTACACCTTTTATTGTTCGTGGTTGCTGACATCATATCCTTCCCTGACCAGTCTGTGCGTGTTTCCTGCCATTCTGTCAAGACTCTTCTGTGTTACTGGGAGGGATTTGTAGGAGGGAGGAAGGGATGGAGGGAGGGAGGGAGGGAAGGAGGGAGGATGGGAGCAAGAAAGAGAGAGGGAGGGAAGGGGGGCAAGGGAGGGAGGAGGTGTGTATCACTCAAGGGAACTTACTTATAAATGAGAGAGCCAGTGGGAGAAGGATCTTTAGCATCTGTTCACAAGAAATTCTTCTGTACTTGGGTCTCGCGCCACTTTGCCTTCGTCTGTCTGCTTGTACCAAACTCAAAGTGAACAGAAGCCTGCCATAATGAAGTTCCCCTTTTTAGTAAGCAGCCTGATTTTATTTTTCTTATACTTAGGCTGGCAAAAAGAAAAACAAGGCAGAAGACTGGAACTCTATAGAGTGTAACGATGGTAGAGCATTTCTTTTTCTTTCTTTCTTTTTTTAATTACTGATTGTTTCTATGGAACTCTGTCATTTTCCAAGAATGCTTCTTTCATGTGGAAAGAAGTAGCGGCGAGCCTGCTGGAATTATTTTAAGCTTATGGTTGATTGTACATAATGAAAGTTTTCAGCATAACTTGAAATTCTACTACATGGAGTTTAGGTATTACAAACATTTCTTTATATGCATACAAAACAATTTTACAGATTACTAAAGTTATATAATCTCTTTTTCAGCCTCTCTAGGCTTCTTACAAATTAATACTTGAAGCCAACCTTACAATATAATTTTTGCATAAAAATCGGGTTTGAGGAATAGTTATGCTAAGAAAACAACTACAGAGCTGTTGTTGACCTTCCTAACTCTTTGAATTTTTACTGACAGCCTTGAAATGTGGTGACTCATAATCAAATGTTCTAAGCCATATGTTCCATGACACATTTTACTTCAGGAAAACAGCCCCATCGCCACTACATATTATTCTGCATATATTCTTAATAACATAATTTTGCATTGTAGAAATGTGCAGAAGGCAACACTTGAGGAAATATTCATTTTTACAGAAAAAAAGGAAATACTCTAATTTTACTGAAATTTACACTTGTTTCTCTATACATTACCTTGCATATTTCAAAAAGGAAATACTCAGTGGCATTTTTATCAACTATATATATATATATATATATATATATATATATATATTTGACATCTACGTAGTAAGTTGTTTTCTAGCAAAATATTCCCCATCACATATTGAGAGTTTAAAAAGAAAAAAATCCTTGCTCTGCCCTTTTAAAAAGTGTCTCTTTCCAAAGTTGTGAAGTGTGGAGTGGTGATATGGAGGAACTCTTCTAAGTTTGGTTCATCAGGAACACTCCCTGTCTTTCTGAGGAGGCTTTTCTCCAGGGATATTTCTCTACTCGTCTGGTTATTTGTGTTTTGAAATCAGGATCTGTAGAAGTTCTCCGTCTTGCCCTCCTTGTTACCACACGCTAATCTGTCCACCCTGACCTTCCACCTTAGAGTGAATAAGCACTTAGGCAGGCATAGTCCTGTAAGCCGATAGTGCCACCGGCCTCAGCTAAATGAAAGAAAGGAAATTGTCCCATTTGCATTTGCTGTGGATTCAAGGGTTGGCTTTTCTGTTGGCTTTCCTGCGATAGAGGAAGCCTGTTTGTCTCTTTGGGGTCTTGCACATGCATGGGAAATACCATCCTAACGTGCTGCTTGCTTCTAAGGTAAGGCTGTAGGAAACACAGGAAAGTTGCCCAGTTGAGTGATATTTGAGACCGTTTCTAAACATAGATAATTACAGTGCCAACAGTGAATATATGATGCAATTGTGCTTTGTGGACTTTTCATATTTTAATGTGATTTAGTATGTCTTAATATAGCTAATTTTTTTCATGTGTATTTGTCAAATGTGTGTTATTTATATAACTCTTTAAAACTTTTGAACGACTTCCAACATTTAAAATTACTGCTGGAGTAATAAATAGTTTTTGATGAGCACTGTGTGGTCATGATGTTACTCAATACATGTATTCTCAGAGGCGAGAGTGAGCTGCAGTTTAATAGAAAGGTTTTGGGCAAAAGAGAATAAATGGTCATAGTATTTAAGCGGCACCTAATCCACCAGAACTAATTAAATCATAATAGCTTGTGCAATTAGATAATCACGGAAAACTTAAAATTGTGAAAAAAATTACTTAAGGTGGTAAAGAATTTAGAAATTAAGTCAGACAAATCAAAAGAGAGCTGATGATCAGACCAAGTATATAACAGCTTTTCCTGTTCCAATAACTTTGAATTGGAGCCAACGGATCTATTAAATAGCCAGGACATTGGCTTAGCGTTACATAACAAATGTGGGAATTTATCAGGTTGATTGAGAGACACCAACTAAAATAAACAAGGAAATTCTGAGCAATGTGTAAAGTAGTTGCATTCTTTGACATGAGATGGGATAGAATGATTGAAGTTGTCGCTTGCAAATGAAGAAGCCATTGTGGAATGTTTTCTTGTTAACTTCCACATTTCACGGCTTTTCATTTTCATTACATTAAAATATTTTCAGATGTACTCTAAAACAAAGTAAAATATATACTTTTAATACTGTGGACTTTCTGGATTTATCTTACATTATTAATGATCATTTCTTTCATATTAATTCATGACCTAAAGATATCCAGTATATAATAGCAAGCTTTTATAATTTTGTATCTTACTCCCCAAAGAGATATGATGTCTTTTTAAAATATTTAAATTTAGAGGACTGATGGCTTATTATAAAAAAGTGTAGTTATAAATGGAATAATACTCCAATTTTTACACCTTCCTTTTTTTCTTTTTATGAATGATTATATTTTTGGATTCTTGCATGGAAAATATAGCTTAAGGGCTTTCAAAAGGAAAAGAGATCTCACTGCTGATAGCTGCTTGTTACGTAAGATTAAATATCCCATATTCTTTTTACAGTATTCTCATAGTGCTGACTTTTTAAAAATAAGATTAAAAGATTTAGATTTAAATTAGTTGACATTTACATATATCAAATAGCACTTTGATAATAGTCCATCCTATTTGCATAACGAGGGACAACGTTATCACCTCTGCTGTCAAAACAGGAGATTGTTTTCCCTTTAGAAATGAATTAGCTGCCCTACTTAGCATACACAGGTACATAAAGGTTCATTAACTCTCTGATTTAGGTAATTTTTCATCACAGAAAGGTGAAAATAGTCACCTAATTTTATCAAAAAATATTAAGAAACTCCTTGCAAAAGATACATTTCAACTGTCGGGTTTTAAAACATAGTTTTCATCATTTAAATTACTTGTTAAATTACTTATGAGATTCTTTTAATTATAAAAACAAACCGATCCTACTTGGTGTGCTCCTGCATGTGATATACTGTGTACTTTTATTAGGCCCTTATTTTCATTCATTTGATTGGCTTACTGCCATATAGTTTTATTTTTTAAAAATGAGAATATGATAGTTCTCATGATACTGACTTGCTGTTAAAGGGTATTGTTCTTTTTTTGTTCAGCAGGAACGAATGCAGGAATTTGGGAACTGAGCAGTGCAAGTGCTGAAGAAGGAGATTTGTTTGGAGGGAACAGGAAAGAGAAAGAAAAGGAAGGAAAAAATACATAATTTCAGGGACGAGAGAGAGAAGAAAAACGGGGACTATGGGGAGAAAAAAGATTCAGATTACGAGGATTATGGATGAACGTAACAGACAGGTGAGTAGGGTAAACTTTTTTCTTTTATTACTGACATGTTCTATTTATTACATTTTCCCCAAACATGTTAAGGGTCCTGAAAAACATTTTGAATTAAACATAGCCAGTTTAAGTGCTAATAGTCTCTGATATGTAAAGGGGAAGAAAATAACTTTATCTTGTAGAAAAACAGTTTACACATTCATGATTAGTTTTTACTTCAACCTGAATTCTAAGTGGGAGCTGTACTTGTGTAACATGCATAGCTTAATGATTAAGAGTTTATAAGCATAACATTTGCAACATTGCACACATCACCAAAGATATTCTTATATACATGGGTACAAGGCCTTTTGTGGTTATCAATTTGAAAGGTTTATATTATAGGCTAAGTATCCTGAATGAAAATAGCCTTTATTCTCTTCACAGACTTTGCAATATATCCAAAATATTTAACATGTCCTGACAACAACAACAGAGAAAACATCCATATAAAATATTAGTAACTTATCACATGTAGGCAAGAAGTATTAGTTAATTCATACTATTTTCTTTAAACCCTGACTTTTATAAACAGAGGCAGGTGATGTTGTAATGTTTTTCTAGAACTTCAGTGATAATATCCATATGATAAAATTAATCTATAGGGTCCGGCACAAGTAATGCCCTTTTTATTAAAAAATCTTTTATTACAAAATCATAAGCATGTAATTCTGTAACATAACACTATCACACTCAAGCACACCATATAACATTTTAGGTGAAAAGTTTCAAATTAAAACTATAAATTTTTGCACCCATATTATTACCATACCAACCATACTCAAGCAGGCGTTACTTCTGCCAGACCCTGTATGTATTCTAAAGACATCCAAATGCTCTATTCAGCAAATACTTGTATATCATGAATAACTGTGATTTCTTCACACATAGAGTGGATTTAGCTAGGCAGTGTAAGGAGAGGTATAGATAGTTTGTCTGCCTTCTGCTGTGAAATATCAAATAATGGTTCCTGGGAAAAATTGCTGTATTGACAGATCCCAACCATTGCAAATGGATAGTGGAACCTATAAAGCAGGCACTCCTTGGCTGTGGAAGAGAAGATTCTTTTGCCTGTACCCCATTTACACTAGGGAAAGCTAAGAGAACAGCTTTGGAAATGCCCTATAAGACTATAATTTCCCCCAAATAAAGACACTCTATCTCTTTTGTCCCTTTCTATCTTCTTGGACCTGTGAGACTAGAACTGATTAATGGTTTAAAATGGTATGTTGTTACATGTGTAAATTATAATGAATGGAAGTTGTTATTTATGCTGTTAAAACCAGTATGCTATTAAGAGGTAAAGAATTTTTTTAGATTTTTATGTTTATTATTCCTTAAATTGTCATATTCAAGGTATGTATGACTTGAACTATTTTTGGCTGAAAATTGAGCTAAAGGATGAATAATGCTAAGATTTTATAAAGTGTTCCTTCAGTGTTTTCCTACCTATTATTTATTGCTATGGGTCAAGTCAAAAAGCAATAATTTTTTCAAGATAAAACCACAACATTTTTAATTGGTTTATACATTAAAATTGAAACTAAAATATTGAACATCATATACCATTGACTATTTATACCCAGTTATTTGGACTAGAATCTATTTTGGGTACAGTCAAAAATTGTAGGAATTAGCACCTACACTTCATTAATAATACTAAGTAATTTTTAGGTTCATGAAAGTCATTGTATCTTCCTTTTGCTTGCAAAGAGGAAATAATTTTTTTGCAGGTGGAATTCATGAGCTTTAATTATGCTTCATAAAGGAGCATAAAACTCACACAGGAATACAAGAATTTTAACACCTTACTTTTGAGCTAATAACTGAACATCTTTTTTAAATTTAAAAAATAGTTGTGTCTATACTTGCTATGATTCTCATTCATGTTAGAAGTAATAATAACTTTAGAAGAAAAATTATTTAAATTCAGCTTAGTTTATCTTCTTTTTTAATCCTGAAGATAATTTTCTTGATTTTATTCTATAGAATTTAGAATCTTAGTCTTGTCCTTTTTTTTTCTTTAGATACAGCAGATTCTTTAATTCAATACTTTTAAATGGAATTAGTAAATATAAAAATGCCATATTTTAACATATATAGCAGTGGTTATTTTAGATGGCCATTGTCAGCTTTCAACAGCTAGCATGACTTATAAATGTTTGTCATGTGCAAAGAGTCATCATAAGAAGCATTTGGAGAGAGTTTAAAAGAGATAGGTAACTTCTAATAATTCACACCAGCAAATCTGCCATAACATATCACACAAAGTATGGAGGTACCCCTCAACTGAGCTGCCTTTAAACTATGAGTTCGCATGTTGAAAAGAAAAAGGTAACTGCTTGGCCCTTGTTGAAGTTTCCCCCATGGTAGACTCCTTAATGGAACCTCATACAATGGTTCACAGTGATCTTTTCTTAAAAGCAGTAAAAGCCTGCTCTGCCATTGCAGGTGTTTATTTGGCAATTCAGAGAACAGGGTGTGTTTTTACAGAATAAGAAATTCTAGCGTAAAGTGTGAAATGAAATATTGCAGAGCTGATGTGATAAGTTGTATATTAAGAAATAAAACTGTTGTAAAACAGAGCAGTTAACTGTTTAAATTGAATTTTGCCCTTATTTTATCTTTCATAATGGAAATAGGGAACAGCTAAAATTCAGAATCTCCAATTGTATACATGTAATAGTTTAGGGAAGGAAAAATATTAAGAGCTTTTTAAATTTTCCAGAGTTTCTAAGTTTATGAAAACTGCTTATTTCTCAAATTCTAACCTAAACAAGATGGATATCTTAAGCCAGTATGCAAAAATAAATAAAATCCTGGGTTCTCCATTTGTCTCACAAAACCTTTCAGATTACTTAGTAAAAAGAAGCTACAATTTTCAAGAACTCCATACATATAATTCCATTTAATCCTTATCAATCCATTTACAGCTGAATAATTCATTTATTTATTAAATCAACAAATACTATTGGATTGCAATGTGCCTAACATTAAGTCTTCAGTGGTAAACAAGAAGAATCTCATCCACCATATTAACTGCTGCAGAAGTCAACAAACTTTTACTGTGAAGGGCCAGATAACAAATATTTTTGGTCTTGAAAACCATGCAGTGACTGTCTCAATGAGTTGCGAAAGCAGCCATGAACAAGGTGCAGGTGAATGAATGTGCCTGTGAACCATAATTTGTGGGCCTCTTACCTAGTGGGATGAATCAGCCATGAAATAGGCAAATATAACGAAAGTTTTGTTCATAGGTGCTATCAATGAAATTATCAAAGCGCTATAAAGGAGTAATAGGAGGTGCTCTGTTTAGATTGAGGGTCAGAAAAATTCCTTTGGGAGGAAATGCTAAAGATAGAAACATTAAGATAGTCAAAGTCAGGCAGGTGACAACATTCCAGAGGTAACAGTATTTGCAAAGCTCCTTTAGAAAGGAGAGAGCTTGCTAGGGAGCTGAAGGAGACTCCATGAAACTTGACCTTGGTGCGTATACTTTTAGAGAGATGAGAGAAAAGATTGGACTAGGCAGGGCTCCAGCCATGCAAAGCTTTGGTGTTTGCCAAAGATTTGAGCCCGGATCTTTCAGATTAAAACACAAAACAAACATGAGTTTCTTCATTAAATCTTGCTTCATCCTGTATAATATAATGGCTAAGAACATAGTTTTAGGTCATAGCTTTTCCCAATTATACCATACTGGAACCCAGTATAATATAATAGTAATGAGCATGGTTTTAGAGACAGACCTAGTTCTGGTCCCAGTTCTGCCTCTTACTAGCTGTATGACCCTCCTGCAAGAGACTTAAAACCTCTCTGAGCCTCATCAGTTCTCTGTTCAGTAGTAGAGTGAGGATTAAAAAAAAAGAGTACTCACCTCATTAGGTCACTGAGATAATTAGAGAAGAAAAGTAAAGCACCTAACATATAATAAATGCTCAATAAATTTCCTATTAAGCTATTTTATTAAGATTCATGCTATTTGAACCACAAGCTATTATGGTAGAGTTAATGTGATTTGCATCAAAACACCTCCTGTGCTGTAGAGCACACTAAAGAATGATACCTAGACCTTCATTTCACAAGGGTTTTACCTTAAAATGGTATGGGGAGATGGAAGGAAAATGGAGCAGTGTAAAGAAGGAGCACAAAGGAACCTTTGGAAGCTAAATGGGTGAGTAATTTCACAGCAAGAGCTGGCTGATGAAAGGATGGCTGGTGGACAGGAAGAAAAATCATTCAGAACAGTTGTAGAGCAGGGAAAGTGACAAGGATGAGGAGAAGCCAGTTTCCTAAGGTCTCTGCTGTGGAACTTCTTTTCATATGCATGTTACTAACCAAGTTATTTTGAACTACAGATCACCATTCTTACCACTTCCAACCTCCAGCTTATTCAAAACTTACAATTTCAAGTTCTCTGTCTGCATTTTTAAATTTTTTCCCATTAGGAGGTACCTTCATCAATTAGACATTAGGCGATAATCTTACCCTTCTATGATTCATATAGTACCAGTTTTTACTATACTCAAAAACAGCCATTTTAATAAAAAACTCATTTATTAATGAGTTTTGTCCTTGTGTGACTCTTTTTACAAACAATATACCTAGAAATCTATTGTATCTGTTGTATCAAGAGGACATATAAAAATTAGGTATGTTTAACTTAGTACCTGGTAACTTGTATATTTGTATTTAAAATTTTCAGTTTTTTCCACTCTGAAAACCCAAGGAGAGGTAAACCCAAATTTATTTGTGTGCTTTGTTATAAAAATGCAATTAAATATTTAAATAACCAAAAGGGACAATTATTTGACAAATAACACAGTTAGAGCCCAATGTAGTAATGTTAAGGGGAAAAGATTTTTAAATGTTTGAAGTTCTTTTCTTCCATCAGACCTGGCGCACTAATAGTTTTTGCCAGCAAACAAAATTTTATATAATTATCAGTGCAATAACTGGAGCACAAATTAAAGACAATT